TCACCTATTAGGTGCAAGGTAGGTTAAGGTCAGGTTTTCAATCTGTACATCATTCACTGTAAAATATACCGCTATTTTTGCTGAAGAAATGATTCAGAGAAAATAAAATCCAACAAATACAATTTTTATTTCTTATAATTCATGGTAAAATCTATATTAGAAGCCGCATCCCTAATAGAAGTCGCATCCCTAATAGAAGCCGCACCGCTAATAGAAGCCGCACCACTAATAGAAGCCGCATCCCTAATAGAAGTCGCATCCCTAATAGAAGTCGCATCCCTAATAGAAGCCGCACCCCTAATAGAAGTCGCATCCCTAATAGAAGCCGCATCCAGTTTTGAACAATTGAGAAAAAAAAATTGATCATTCCTATATGAGTAGATGCTCTAATAGAAGTTGCATTCCCTCTGTTGTATTCTATTGCAGATTTTACAGTTTTATACGGGCTCCATAAGCAGTGCATTTCCCTTCAGAAGATTAGGACAAAAATAGCCACATTTTTGCAGTAAAAACTGAAAATTTATTCAAATTAGAGTTCATTCCCAGAAATATTGAAGAAGTGCAGAAAAATTTGGATGAGAAAGTCGGGTGGTGTGAAGGTCAAAGCAGGAGAGTCGTCACCTGTGCACGTGCAGGAATTGAGTCCCGAGCAACAACACACGCCAAAAAACGAAAAGACTTGTGGCTGGACACTTGTTTGTAAACTATGATACGCTATGGCCATCTGACGACTCCCTCACTTTAAGTGTTTGTTTTAAAATGATTTAAATGATTCCTGATATTCAGTAAATGTCTGAATCAGTGTACACTGGACTCACCTGTCTGACTGAGTTCTGTACCACTTTGTCCACCGTGAAAGATATATACGCGTGAATACCAAACATTTCTCTCATCTGATCTTCGTACACCGTGCTTTCAAGATTGCCGTCCAATAAATTACGAACCATCTCAAGAAATGTAGAGTAATATTCTTCTGGTTCAGGGTCATCTTAAAAACAAAAGATGCTCAAATTAATGACTGTAGAGGGTGCTAAGCCAGAAGCATCAAAGGCATTTGCCTCGATGCCCAAAGTGGGTAATATTCCTCTGGTTCCAGGTCAGCTTATCAGAATTAATGAGTGTATGTAGAGGGCGCTATGCCAGAAGCATCAAAGGCAATTACTGAGGATTTCTCCAGAACACCACTAGAGGGTGTAACAAAGACAGTGGTGTTTGATGCTCAGAGTGGGGTTGAATTGACACAACATTGCATCATGCGGGAAGCGTATTATTTCCAGATATGCATCTACAGGCACAACTAGTACTGCAATGCTCCTGGTATTCATCCAGTACAATAAACAAAAACAAAAAATCTGGCGAAATATCACAGACTTTTTTTTGGACTTTACTTTTCAAGACTTTCCACAAAACAATTGTTCATCGTAAGGAAAATATTTTTTTTTTTAAACTTGCATAGCGCAATATGGTACTTGGTGGCTTTAGCGACAACATAACTACCGTAACATTCCATTGTTACTTACTCGGCGGTCGCAACCTC